CACAGATTCTATATTACAGCGAGTTGTATAATTATTTAATTATATATTACAATGTAATAATAATACAAAATAAAGTGCACAATAAATGTAATGCACAAGAATCATCCCAAAACCATCCCCCCACACCCTGGTCCATGGAAAAATTGTCTTCCATGAAACCGGTCCCTGGTGCCAAAAAGGTTGGGGACCACTGCTATACATGGTGTGAAATAAATCAATTGTACCGCCTTAAAAGTAGAAATCCTTTTTGTTTCCCAACTGGAAACAAAGTAACTCTCAAGAAAGTAGCCTTTCTAGTTCCATCATTTCCCAGAACTTGCTTCAAAGGATCTTCAAGGGTTTTCACACAGAACCCTTTTCCAGAAACTGCCACGGTGGAGTCACCTGCTTTTCTATCCTTGTTCCCAACAGAGTCTCTCACTCTTACATTCTCATTTTGCAAATTGGAGCTAATTGTGAGAAATTAAGGATAAAAGTTACTTGGCAGCTTGGGAGTTTTTCCATTCCCTTCAGGAAGTATGCAACTGAGCTCTCCAAATAAATGAATGCTTAAGTAGGACTCAATCATTCTCTTCTAAGGCAATCTATATTTAGTTTTTTGGCAGACTGCCCGTGTCACAGGGCTGCAAACATATTATGAAGATAGTTTACGCCACAAATATGTTTGCTTATTCCTGATGAAGTGTGTGGAAAATGTTCAAGTACTTTTTCATTTCCCCCTTTGAATTTTTCTCAGAATGTGATTTGTATCTCAGACTGTTTGAATGACAACTTCACAACAACTTCTAAAACCATATATATTTCAGTAACATTGGTTCAGATGGAGTACAGTTGTCTAAGTTCCAACCATTTGAGATAAAAACCGATTAAACTGTTTTTGTCATTTTTACTCTAATTTCAACAAATATTTCAGATTACTGTTTTTTTATTTAAAAAAGATGACCTAACGGGCGGGCACCGTGGCTCATGCCTGTAATCCCAGCACTTTGGGAGGCCGAGGCGAGCAGATCACGAGGTCAGGAGATCGAGACCATCCTGGCTAACACAGTGAAACTCCGTCTCCACTAAAAATACAAAAAAGTTAGCCCGGCGTGGTGGCGGGAGCCTGTAGTCCCAGCTACTTGGGAGGCTGAGGCAGGAGAATGGTATGAACCTGGGAGGCGGGCCTTGCAGTGAGCCAAGATTGTGTCACTGCACTCCAACCTGGGCGACAGAGCGAGACTCCATCTCGAAATAAATAAAAAAATTAAAAAATAAATAAATAAATAAGACGACCTAACTGGTTATAATCCCCAGTGCACATGGAACAATCTTTATTCTCTTTATTCAAGTTCTAAAAGCATATGAGGCCAGTGGCTCACACCTGTAATCCTAGCACTTTGGAAGGCCAAGGCAGGTGGATCACCTAAGGTCAGGAGTTCGAGACCAGCCTGGCCAACATGGTGAAACCCTGTGTCTACTAAAAATACAAAAATTAGCCAGTGTGGTGGTGGGCACCTGTACTCCCAGCTACTAGGGAGGTTGAGGCAGGAGAATCACTTGAACCCGGGAGGCAGAGATTGCAGTGAGCGAAGATCACATCACTGCACTCCAACTTGGGCAATAAGAGTGAAACTCCATCTCAAAAAAGTAAATAAATAAAATAAAATCTTATGAAACATCTTCTGTAGCATTTATTAAGGAAAAGAAAATTCATAAGGAATTTTAATTTTGAACCAAAATACAAGCAAGAGCCTAGCAGAATTAATGGTATTTTATGTGAAACAAGGTAACTGGGAAAATAGAATATATTTCCTGAGATATCTAAAATATTGTAATAAAACTGAGTTAAAATAAATATTCTCCAGAATGTCCAGTTCTAGAGAGGAAATGAGACACAGTGAGCTGTGTTAGACACAATTAACTATGTTGCAGTGTATTAGAAAGAAGGGTCCTTTGAACTCTTAAAGGCCAGAGAACTGAGCTAAAGGGGACTGGTTGGGGGCAGAGCTTCTGCCAAGGACTAGTTGTCCCAACCTAGGAAAAGCCAGCAGGCACCTGATATGCAACTTAGAGGATGGTTAGGCCAATGTTTGTGGAGACAACCAGCAAAACTAAATAAGAGCAGAAGGCTAGGTCGAGGTTTGGGCATGAATGAAACAAAGGCTATCCTATTGGAATGGAAAAGACAGGGTTTTAAAAGGATTCAGAATGCTGAGTTAGGCAGAGGCATAGCTGTCAAATCATGGTCAGTCCATCAACAAGTGATTTTTAGCATAACCCTTAGAAGAGTACTGATCTTTCAGACACAGCTTAAAATAGGCTTTTTGTTTTGGTTTTGTTTTGTTTGAAAGAGGGTACTATAGTTCTACAACCTGTTACCTGCACTTGTAAAGGTCCTCCAATTCTGAAAACCAAGCTTTACCCCAAATTTGATGCAAACTTGTTTAGCAGCAAAGCATGGTCAGGACCCAGGTTAAGCAACTTATTATTTTTCTTTATATTTCCACCTAGTGTTAATACTTATATGTTCACTATGGAAAGATCAAAATGTTTGCTCGTGGGAGGCAGCTCCAGGCCCCACCAGAAGTGCTGTATAATAGACAGCATGCACATTGTGTGATCTTTCTAACATTCAAAAGCTATTGAATTCTGAAACATGGCTGGATGAAGGGTTGTGAATAACAGATGATCAGTCTGTATCTACACTATATTTTCTTTCTTGATGACCAAGTCACAGTACTAAACATAGCTTAGTACAAATTAGCAAAGCTTGAAAAATCATGTAACACATCTCTCCTGAGAGTGCCTGCAGAAATATCTGTGGACTGAAGGTGGGATCCAGTGATCCATCTGGTGCTCTAGGCATAACACCAAAGGCCAAGGGCAATGTTTTAAACTTTAAAAAAGAAAAAATATACATATAATTGACAAAATTAACAAAGAAGCTTAAAAGCCAAAACTAATAACAGTTAACCATGGCTTCATTCAACTGTGATGAGTGATCAGCAAATGTAATAGTTTAAGCCACAAAGACATATAAAATAATGTATTCCAGACTATGAAATCCACCCCCACCGCCCCACTGAAAAAAAAAAAAACAAAAAAAAAACCCAAAAAAAAAAAAAAAAAAAACTTTCCAAAAGGTTTTACAGCACAAAGAATGATATTTAGTGAGGCATGTGGTGTTAAATGCAGCTTCCAAAAAAAAAAAAAAAAAGGAGTGCTCTGGACCTACGAAAGTCTAACCTGTGTCCTGGCTAGGTTTTTCCTGCCCTTCCTTGCTTTTGACATTGCTGACAATGGTTTACAGGAATAGCATATGCTAGCAGAATCAAGAAACTTAACCTTGGGCTGGTACTTTTGTAAGTCAATTAGCTAATTTACTGATTAAATGTCATACATTTTCCCAACAAACATTCGTCTGACCAATGCAAAAGTGACCAAAAGTAAAGGTGATTTCTGGTTTAACACTTTCACAAAATTTTGTTCTTGATTTTTAATGCGCCTAACTTTAAATATATTGTGGGATAATTTAGGAATTAGAGAGACTGAGGGGTTAAGGAGGATTTATTATTTAGGTGTATTTGGCCTACTTGCCTTAATATTTAAAGGACTGGGTTTGGAATAAAGAGTTGTTATTTTTAAAATATTTTGTGAGGCAGGGGGAGATTTGTAATAATACAGTATCTGACTGTTAACAGTGGTATCTAAAGAAAAAACACAGAACCATGTGAAAAATACTGGTCCTGGCATATTACTGCCTACATTCTTATAGAAAGACTTACTCATCGGCCAGGCACAGGGGCACACACCTATAATCCCAGCACTTTGGGAGGGCAAGGCAGGCAGATCACTTGAGGTCAGGAGTTCGAGACCAGCCTGGCCAACATAACAAAACCCCATCGCTACTAAAAATACAAAAATTAGCCGGGCGTGCGCCTATAATCCCAGCTACTCAGGAGGCTGAGGCATGAGAACTGCTTGAACCCCAGAGGAGAAGGTTGCACTGAGCCAAGATCTGCACTCCAGACTGGGTGACAGAGCAAGAATCCATCTCAAAACAAACAAACAAAAACCAGAAAGTCTTTTTTACCAAATCTTGGTAAATTTGTGGAGGGGGAGATTCATGTATATGTATACACACACACACACACACACACACACACACACACGAAAGAAATAAAACTGGGAAATTAACATGCACAATTCCCTGCCTCTTTACCAATAATTGAAAAATGCTTTTGACCTTAGAATACCATGCTACTTGCAAATTAAACTATTTTAAGAGATTGAACAAGTAAAGATATTTGCACTACAGAATGAATGAACTATATTTAAGAGATTTGTATTCCAGCTCCAGATTAAATTCAAACCATGCTTACATGGGTTTTGACTGTAAGAAGGTTTTATACCTTTTTTAAGAGTGCACTTAAGGCTGGGGCACGGTGGCTCATGCCTGTAATCCCAGCACTTTGGGAGGCCGAGGTGGGCAGATCACGAGGTCAGGAGTTCAAGACCAGCCTGGCCAAAATGGTGAAACCCTGTCTCTACTAAAAATACAAAAAAATTAGCTGGGCATGGTGGCGCATGCCTGTAATCCCAGCTACTCAGGAGGCTAAGGCAGGAGAATTGCTTGAACCGGGACCTGGGAGGCGGAGGTTGCAGTGAGCCGAGATCGCACCACTGCACTCCAGCCTGGGCTACAGAGCGAGACTCCATCTCAAAAAAAAAAAGAGTGCACTTAATTAAAGATCACAAATACAGAAATAATGTACAAGAGCAACAGGAGAAAACATTTTTAACATGTTCTTGCCAATATTGACTTTGTTGGACTTCATCTAATTTAAACCAGAAGAATGATGTATCTATGAGAACACCAAAATTATTACTGAGAATTTTAGAAAGCCCTTGCCCAAACTGACAAATTAAATTAGAAGATAACTTTTCAGATCATGCTTAACTTGAAACTTAACAGAAGCATTCCTTTTTTTTTGTTGTAACTAGTCAAAGTAACATACCTCCCTGAAATGTGTGACAAATATAATCCCCAAAAGAAATCTCTTTCCATGGTCCGGACCTTCTGATACTTTCTGAAACTTCACAGTTCTTCTCATTTTCCCCAGTTAATTGAAGCATTCTGATGCTTCGTCCTTGGAGGTCTTATTTCTTTAGATAAGACTGCTGTTGTCTAGTGTCTTCCGAGTTGTCTAGTGTATTGGAATCACATAAGACTATTTTGAAAGAGAATCCTGGATGCAAATTGAAATGGATACTAGATAAAGAATGATGTAATCCTGGAACCCCTGCGAACACTAAAAATACATGGGGAAATTCTGAACTCTGTTTATGAATAAATACTCCTCTATTAAGTGACAATCCCAGCAGTGACAGGGATATGTGACTCATTTACTTTTGTAGCATCTCACTACAATTAAAGTAAATCATTTCTTTCAAGAAATGGACACTATTCTCTACAAAGCGCGAGAATTTAAAATTTGCCCAAATTTTGGCATTTCATATTAGAATAAACTTTGTTTGGAGTGCTTTGCATGCTACCATATAAAATGGGTTTAGTGAAGAGTTTTTCCTGACAGCGACAAGTGGTTAATCAATTCCAATTGCTAATGACAGCAAAAAAATATATATAGCTTGCCACTTCCAATTGCTAATGACAGCAAAAAAAAAAAAAAAAAAAAAAACATATAGCTTGCCACGTTTGCTGCTTTAATCACAATTTATTAGTCTTTCTACTTCCTGAGAAAATTTAGTCTGGTTAGAATGCCCTTCATTTTTAAAGTTTGCTTTAAAATATTAAAGAAAATAATTATATACAAGTAATTATTTTGGCCAGTAGCAATGAAGTTTCTCAAAATACTCTTAGTAAGCCACTACCTATTTACTTCTTAAATAACAACTGCTACAAGATCTACTAACTCGCAAAAAGTAAAGCTGAAAATCCTCCACAAACTGATGCAGTCAACAGCATTTGCTACTTTAAGTGACAATTTTTCAAACTACCCACTTAAAATCAAAGTATAAATATAATCTGCCTTCTAGAAATACTATTCATGTGAATTACCTAGGAGGGATTTTAAAAAATATATTAGGAACAAATTCATGTACTTTTACCTGAAATTCCACCATAGATCTCTTCTGCTATCCTAGCTGCTTCTTTCCTATTTCCTTTGACGATATAGAAATGGGTTAGGAGAGCCAAAAAAACTTTAATTAAAAGCTTAAAGAAAAAAAAGGTAGCAAACATTGTAATAAAAATGTTTTTAAAGCCATAGAAAGCAGGAGCATCTTCCATTTTGGCTTATGCTCTGTATAGGGTCCTAGGACTGTAAAATTTCACTGAGTTATAATTGGTATCATATGACATCTATTTTAAACCTTCTAGCACTCAGTGCTCCTGTTACCGAGAATTCGGTTTGTAGGTTCTAATCTAACTGATTTGGCGACTGCATGTGCTGACTCCACAGCAGTGTTAAATAAACTAAAGAAACTTCCTTCTAACCAGAAACATCCAATAGTTCTAGAACTACACAACTCAGTACTGTCTAACAAATAAGATTCATATCCAAACATTTTATACTCCTAAACCCCTATTTTTCCTATTTTATGTCAGAAAGCAGGGTTGGAAAGATAGAAACTTCTCAGCTTCCATAGAAACAAAGCAAGTTATTTGACATACAAAAAAAGTGCAAATATGCTTTATGTTCTAAGTGGGAAGTACTACTCCCTGGGGCATTTCATTTTCTCTTAATTCTGAAGTTTATAGAGGATTAAGTCCAAATCTAAAATATGACCAGTTAAAAAAGACCATTTACCTGGTCGGGCGCAGTGGTTCACTCCTGTAATCCCAGCACTTTGGGAGGCTGAAGCAGGCGGATCACCTGAGGTCAGGAGTTTGAGACCAGCCTGGCCAACATGACGAAACCCCCGTCTCTACTGAAAGTACAAAAATTAGCCGGGCATGGTGGCAGGTGCCTGTAATCCCAGCTACTCAGGAGGCTGAGGCAGGAGAATTGCTTGAACCTGGGAGGCAGAGGTTGCAGTGAGCCAAGATCGCACCACTGCACTCCAGACTGGGTGACAAGAGCAAGATTCCATCTCAAAAAAAAAGAAAAGAAAAAAAAAAAAGGCAATTTACTCTAAAGCTGTATGTATTTATTTATTTAGTTTTAAGATGGAGTCTTATTCTGTTGCCCAGGCTGGAGTGCAGTGGTGCAATCTTGGCTCACTGCAACCTCTACCTCCTGGGTTCAAGCAATTCTCCTGCCTCAGCCTCCCAAGAAGCTGGGATTACAGGCTTGCGTCACCATGCCTGGATAATTTTCGTATTTTTAGTAGAGACGAGGTTTCGCCATGTTGGCCAGGCTGGTCTCAAACCCCTGACCTCAGGTGATCCGCCCACCTTGGCCTCCCAAAGTGCTAGAATTACAGGCGTGAGCCACTGCACCTGGTCAAGCCTTTATTTAATAAAAGGCCTACCTTGGATGCCTCTCCAAGTAAAAGTGTCACACTGGAAGCATCAGACTACTTGCCATGGTAGTTGCATCTGGGACAAGGTCTCACGGCAAGGTTCCCTCCTGATCATTCACTTGCATTTCAAGCATTGGTAAAGGTGGTGCCCATTTCTGAAAAATGTGGGCTATCCTTGATCATGGAAAAGTCATAGTGAAATGGACAAAAAAGATGCCCTAGGTTCTGGATGAAGTACCCAAATATTTCATGAATCAACCTTCTCTAGCTGGGCAATTTTCTCTTATCAGCTGGCCAACAGAAGTGAAATGGGTTTTAGTTTTCCTCATCACTCTAGGCCTCTGCCTTCATTCTTGGCTATGTTAGATTTTGTAAATTTCTAAAATCAATTGAAAAGACAAGTCAAAATATAGTTATACCAGCAGCCTAATAAATCTTAACGAATGCTTTATGCAAAAATATAGGAATTTCTCCTAGCATGCACGCAAATTAGAATGACTGCCTGGTTAAGAACTGTTTCACTACATTAAAAAGCTGACATGTAAGAATACAACTTTGAACCACAACATACAGCTCATCGATTTCAGTGTATCAGAGTGCTATAAAGACCTTGAGTTGTCTTAACTCTCAAGGAACGGATACTAACATAAGATTTACTTTACTGAGCTTATATTACCTGGTAGAATACCAGTGTATGAAAATACATGAATACAACTCTTTTAGTCCTTTTCATGTATCTCTTTCTTCAATTATACTCTAAGTACGCAATCATTTAGTCATGTCAGACCAGTAATGTATATTGTTCTATAACATTATTCAATCTTGTTTTGGTTTTTTCATTTAAAACATGGCTGTCCAATGTTTTACATGCCAAAAAAGTTGGCCATGAGAAGCTCAACTTTTTTAAGGTTCAAATGGATGTCTATACTATTTCTGAGAGACCATCTTTTTTTTTTTTTTTTTTTTAATTGAGACAGAGTCTCGCTCTGTTGCCCAGGCTGGAGTGCAGTGGATCTTAGCTCACTGCAAGCTCCGCCTCCCGGGTTCACACCATTCTCCTGCCTCAGCCTCCCAAGTAGCTGGGACTACAGGTGCCCACCACCACGCCCAGCTAATTTTTTGTATTTTTAGTAGAGACAGGGTTTCACCGTGTTAGCCAGGATGGTCTCGATCTCCTGACCTTGTGATCCACCCGCCTCGGCCTACCAAAGTGCTGGGATTACAGGCGTGAGCTACCACTCCCGGAAAGGCCATCTTTACTATATTTGAACATTACATTTGAGATGGGCATAAAAGGCTACTGATACACAAGGACATTTGATTCATGCTGTCTATCACGGATGAAATAATCAACAGCACCAAGGTTTCTCAGCCTCAGCACTATTGACATTTTGGGACAGCTACATCTGTTGTGGGGGATGGCCCAGAGCATTGTGGAATGCTTAGCAGCAACCCCGACCTCTACTCACTTGATGCCAATGCCCCACCCCCATCTAGTAGTAACAACCAGACATTGCCGGATGTCCCCTGGGAAACAAAATTGTCCCCCCAAACCCCAGTTGAGAACCACTGAGCCATACCCAAATAGAAATGATAAAGGATAAAGTAAAATCAATTCCCCCAAGTACTATAGGCTACAAATCAAATTCTACATAGAACTTTTTCATAATTTTATATTAAAAAATCCAGCCACAGGATACAATTTAACATCTAGCCACATTCATTTGGGAATGCAGAGATGGATAAAGAGGCTTTAAAAATACTTCACAAAAGTAAACACAGACCTATACTACCGACTTTGCCAAAAATAAGTTTTGGCATAAGATAAAACATAAACATAGGTGACTGCTTTCCACTGCTTCCTACAAAAGGGGTGGGAGAAACTAAATCAGGGATATCCAATCTTTTGGCTTCCCCGGGCCACATTGGAAGAATTGTCTTGGGCCATACATAAAATACACTAACAGCAGATCACAAGGTCAGGAGTTCAAAATCAACCTGGCCAAAATGGTGAAACCCTGTCTCTACTAAAAATACTAAAGTAGCCTGTGTGGTGGTGGACGCCTGTAATCCCAGCTACTCAGGAGGTTGAGGCGGGAGAACCATTTGAACCCGGGAGGCAGAGGTTGCAGTGAGCCGGGATCGCGCCACTGCACTCCAGCCTGGGCAACAAGAGTGAAACTCTGTCTCAAAAATAAATAAATAAATAAATAAATAAATAAATAAATAAATAAATAAATGAAAATACACTAACAATAGCTGATGAGCTGAAAAAAAAAAAGAAAAAAGAAAATCACAAGTCTCATAATGTTTTAAGAAAGTTTACAAATTTGTGTTGGGCAAAGTAGAAAGCATAATTATGTAGCTCACGTACGCAATACAGTTTGTAGATATTTTCCTTTGTCTCACATGATAACGCTAGGGCAGTGAAAAACAAGGGCTTATTTGGGTAAGGAAACAAAGGCACAATTGAACTTGCTATTCCATGAGTAAGACAGAGAAGATATTCTAGAAACAAAAAATGACAGAGTAATTCATCGCCCAAAGGGTATTTCTTGTTTTACTAATAGACCAAGCAACACATCCAAATTGCATTGGAAAAGAATGTGTCGGGGGCAGGGATAGCCTGTTCCACTAGTCAATAATAGTCTGGTCATAAAATAAGACAAACTCAGAAAATTAGCAAAATGTCATTCTGGTCTTTATTTTTGGACATGTAGCATGTTTTAACAAATCAGTTTTTCATAGGCAACCTTTTGAAACATCAAAAGAAATACAATATAGTTTTCACAAATTCCTCATCACTGTAAATTCACTTTAAAATCAACGTAAGTAGCAGGGTAGAGCAATGTGTTTCCACATACCGACCAGTGCAACACTGACAGTTACAATTAAGGTATCCAGGAAGGTTGAAAATCAAGATTTACGTAAAACAAATTTACTTCCGTTTGTTAAAAGTAGTAATTTGCAAATCACAAGTCTTACAAGCAAAGGCAACTAACTTTAGATCTTATTTCCATCTCAAATAAATGACAATTT